ACGTTAAGACGGCTTATTGACTTCTTGAGAAGAATTCTAAGAAGAAAGTAAACCTACAGACATCGGTCTTGTTTAACTAAATCTGCCTACAAGAAAATCTGTCACCAAAGTACACCAACATCCCGAATATATATATATATATATATATATATATTGATAACAAAGTAGTTTAAAGTTTGAATATAACTCTTTAAAAGGTTGTGGCATGCATAATTTGACTTGCCTGTAGCAAGAGGGTTAAGGATTTTATGTTTGTTATACCAATGTTCTGAAAGGAAAAAAAATAAATTTTATGTTTTAGTGCACACAGATACTTGAAACCTTTAATTGCAAAAGAAGGAAGCATTGGTTTATAATTATCCAAATGTTACTCCTGATTTAACACAAACCTTGCTGGATTTTATCTTTCTCACTACATAAACAACATTGGCATGCTATAAAAAAAATTGAAGAGCTAGTATAAATATTCATGGATTAACTCTTTCTGCAATGAGCAGATGTATGTACAACTACCACAAGAGTTTGGAATTTTGTACACAAAGAAGAAAGTGTATTCCCCTTCTAACTTCCTAAAGTTAACAAGTTTCAGAAAACATAAGAACAACAAGGGACTATTTGGTCCAAAGCTTTTCTTGCACACTAACACTTGAGAAAAACAAAAATTTAACCCCAACTTTTAAGGTAACCTCCAATTCTCCTCTTAAATACTTGGAAATTGACAGCCTACACAAATACCAAAAGAAAATCATCCCATAAGCCAATCACCCTGTTAGAAAAATAAAACTGTCTTAACTGAAGCCTTAGATATATTTTCCAAATCTTAAACTTGTGTCCTCTCATCCTAATATCTTCAGAATATAGCAAAGAAATAAATGGCCTTTATCTTGTCAATTTCCCAAATCTTACCCTTCTTTTCTAATGAGAAAATATAAAAAACAGAGATGCTAACCTATGTACATAACTGTTCCACCCTTAAAGTCGTCTTCTTAATCTTTTCCAGTAAGTCAGTATCCTTTCTTAAATAAAACCAAAACTATACAAAGCATTCCAAGTGAGATGTAGCTAGTGATTTCCATGGAGATAATTACCTCTTTCCACTTGTATCAATAAATCTATAAATACACTATTAAGATTATATTAGCTTTGGTACTAGCAACAGAACACTGCTTTGGGTTGAGTGCTTTATCCACCCCTATGCCATGAGCCTTTCCTTCAGTCACACTATTGACTTGCAGGCCAGGAAATTCATCACTTTTAGGGCAAGACCATATAGTCTTGGATTTTCTCTCATTTTCAAGGACACTAAGGTAAAAAAAAAAATCACTGGAGAGCACTTAGGCCACAGTACACATTAATGTTTAATGTTAACGGAATAGAAATGAGGTTCTTAATTAGTTTAATAAATATGGCATTAATTTTTTTCATTGGGGCTTGGGAAGCTGGCCTATTCTTCTAGATTATGTTTATCAGGCAGGTAAGTATTACCTTTAACCAATGAAGTAACAGTAAATCAGCTTTAAGATTAAAACAAGAGGTATCATGCTGATCTAAAATGCCCTGTGACCTTAATAAGATTTCTAGTTTTTGTCCCCTCCTGACCCCAAATGATGTTTGACCTGAAAATCATATACAAATTTTAGGCAACTCTCTCCATTATTTATCTAACTTTGAGAAGGATCAAAATAAAATCCCTTCAAGGAGAAACATTTTAAAGGTTTCCAGGATTTGACCTCTGGTGACCTTACATATCTTGAACAAATTTCAGGCATCTCTATCCACTTACTAATTTATCCAACTTTGATAAAGATCCGACTTACAAGTAATGAGAACAAGTGCTATAAGATTTCTATCTTTTGCCCCCTCCTGATCCCAAATGACCTTTGACCAAAGAATTGTATACAACTTTTATGCACCTCTATCCAATTAGTACTTTGACTAACTTTGAGAGCAATCAGACAAAATTCCAGGGAGGAGAAGAAGTTTAAAGGCCTAATTTCTACAACCAAAATTCAACACCAACACATCTGACTACTTGACCAAGATTGATGAAAATCAGTTACACAGTCTCCCAACAGCAACCCTTTGAAAATCTTCATGGACAGACAGATAAATAGATAGAAAGACACATTATCATGACATAAGGTGAACATTATCTTTCTAAACAATACTAGTAGTATTGTTTCGCATAACTTCTAATGTAGGCTAGTGCCAATAGACAGTAAACTAGACCTACATTACATGGTCATAACCTATAAATCATGCATCGTCACACACATTGCATTGTGCAACTCTCTACTTATAATACTCTACTACATGTATTTTATGTGACTTATTATTCGTAACAAGGTAGCTTCTGTACGTTGTAAGTCCAGTGTTTGTGATCCCTGATGGTCTTTCCTTTACTGCCGATCAAAATGAAAACTTCACTCCCTCCACTGCATGTATTTTATGTGACTTATTATTTGTAACAAGGTAGCTTCTATAGGTTGTAAGTCCGGTGTTTGTGATCCCCAATGGTCTTTCCTTTACTGTGGTACATAATGCAAACTTATATTGCAAGGGCACGATAGCCAAAGTGATACCGAAGGTTTGCCATCATGGCCAATTTAAATATACAGCAGCAACTGCTGCTGTGAATTTCCTACCATGGAATTTGGTTTCCGTATATACTAAGCATGTGATCCAAAATATGAAAACACAAATATCTTATATTTATTATAACTATATTCCATTTTCCAACTATTTGTTTAACTTATCAAATGATTCAAATCATTCTCTAGTAGAGTTGGAAAGATTAGTGATATTTACTATATGATTAACATATAGCTCCATTACTCAGTTAGTACAGTGTTCCTCAAACCATGGTATGCATGGAGGGGGCAGCCAGACATCTTCCCTCTAATCAATAGTTCAAAATTAGTGACAGTGGCAAATAGCAAAGACAGGGTGAACAAGTATGGGGGTAATATTTCAATTACTTAGACAGTTGAAATAACTGAGACTAGTAAAAACCAGAAACTAATTGGTT